ATTGGTCAATAACAAATACATATTTTAAAACGTAATAACTTAAAATGAAAAAGGAAAAGACAAAGACATGAGTTGAAATTGCGACTTCTCATTGAGGGGCAGAACAAGCTAGTAAGCTAATGCCTCTATTTTTTGTATTATTAGTGTTTGTTTTATTATTGTACATATGTATTTAAAATGAAGTAAAAAGACCTAATGCAAGTCTTGAGTCAGTGACATCTAATACACAATATAACATGCTAGTCTTTGAATCTATTAAAATTGTTAATTCATTCGTAACTCATCTAAGAAACAATCGGTTATTTCTAATGACATTTGTTGAGAATACAAATATTTATAAAGAGTCGAAACTACAACTTCTCATTGAGGCACGGGTCGTGTTAGCTAGTAAGTTAATGACTCTATTTTTTGTATTATTAGTGTTTGTTGTATTTAATATATACATGTATTTTAAAATGAAAAAAAAACACTAATGTAAGTCTTGATTCGGTGACATTTAATAAAAAAATATGACATGTTAATCTTTAAGTCAATCAAAATTGTTAATTCATTCATAACTCATCTAATTAGAATTAACTGGTTATTTCTAATGATATATTTATTGAGAAACCAAATATTCTAAAGAGTTGACACTGCAACTTCTCATTGAGGGGCGGGGTGTGTTAGCTAGTAAGTCAACGACTCTTTTTTTTGTATTATGAATGATTGTTGTATTTAATGTATACATGTATTTTAAAATGAAAGAAAAAAGACCTAATGTAAGTCTTGAGTCTGTGACATCTAATAAACAATATGATATGTTAATCTTTAAGTAAATCAAAATTGTTAATTCGTTCGTAACTCATCTAAAAAACAATTGGTTATTTCTAATGACATATTTATTAAAAACCCAAATATTTCCAATAACATATTTGTTGAGAAACCTAAGAAACAACAATTTTGACCGACTCAAAGATTAATATGTCACAATGTTTGTTAAAAGTCTCGGAGTTGAGATTTACGCTAGGTCTTTTTTTCCCTTCATTTTAAAATAAATGTGTACATTAAATACAATACACTAATATTACAAAAAAAGAGCAATTGACTTACTAGCTAACACGTCTCGCCCTCAAGGAGAAGTCGTAGTTTTGTAGTTTCGACTTGTGCCTTCACTTTTTCCTTTTTCCTTTTAAGTTATTATGTTTTAAAATACCTATTCGTAATTGGCTAAGGGATAAAAAGAAAATTTTTCTAAAAACTTAAACGGCAAATGGGGAACAAAAAAATGTTAGGGCTAAATGCAAACACATATGTAAATGTTGGAGCTAAATGCAAAATGATTAAAATGCCAACCGACACGTCATCATGATCTGGGACCAGCTAATGGCTTGAAAATGAAATGTTTCTAAAATATAATAACAAATGAGGAACAAGAAATAAAATTAGGAGTAAAACAAAACAATGTTGTATATATAATGACTTTTGTAGCATAAACCCCCTTTTTTTGCTACAAGATTTTGTCATTAAACTTGCATTTGTTGTTCAAGAAAATATCATTTTGACATACTATTGTATTCAAAAAACACTATTAAACTACCATTTGTTGTTAAAAAACACCATTACTATCACAATTTATATATGATTTATCATTAAACTAACTTTGTTACACATTTGGTCACTTTTATCTTTTTAAAAGCCATCATCAATTTTCCATTTATCTTCTCTGGCCAACCAACACAACCTGGGGATACACTTGACATCCATCATTGGAAAACAAAACATCGTTTGGGTAGCCCAAATGGGCCACAATGAAGCTTCACTCATAACATGTTGGGCTAAAACTCAAAACTACCATAGAGGCACAGACGACACCATTTTATCCCTCGCAGTCGCTCATGCTTAAGCTAGATATCACACATGTAATGTATTGGACACTTTGCAAACTTCAGTGGTGGTGGAATTGGATGGTGTTAGTTGAAAAAATGACCTTTATAAAGTTTAATAGTAAATTGGGTAGAAAAAAAAAATTTAATAATAAATCACGAACAAAAAACATTAACCAGCAATACGTGATTAAAGCGATAGCTTTTGACTTTTGAATAACAGGTGTCAATTTAATGGTAAGTTGTGTCTCGTAATTATCCAAAAAAAAAAGTGTCACTTTGTCAACGGCTCCATGTACCAAAGAATCAAAAACACATAAAGGTTAAATTGAATCGTTTGCTACTTGTATATTAAATGAAATGTCATGTCATTATACGAAATAAACACGGAAAAAGGAAGGAAATTAAAACTCACAAACCCATTAAATCTTTCGAGTTATTACTTCAGTTATACGTGTTGTGTTTGTTTGATGAATGATAATTATTCGTATCACTATAATTTATATCTCCACAATTTTGGATAACTCCATAAAACCATAATTGACTACAACAAACAAAATCATCCAAATAATAAAGATTACTTTTAGCAAAAGTATTCTCATGATCTCTAAATATTTCTGAAAAGTCAAATTCAAAATCTAATGGAGGTCGGAACCTGGTGTGAAAATGGAAAGATTAGGCCAACCATTCCCTCCGTCGCAACCGCTCGACTCCCCTCTTCCGCCTCCACTTCCGCTCTGATTATGATCATTATTCATACTCAAATAGTCCCTCCGGAATAACTCCGCCACCGGAGTTCCAACCAATCTATCCTCCCGAGCTTCATCACCCAAATTCGGTCTCAACCCATCTACAAAACCCCCAAATTGCGCCCCATGATTCGATCTCAACATCGAGTTGAAACTTGCACCGTTTATTTTACCTTGGTTATTACCAAACCCAAAAATCGGTAAGGGTTCCGGCTTAAACTGAGCTGGCGGAGGCGGTGGCGGTGGCTGCGGCGGTGGAGTCGTTACAGGCGAATCAGGAGACGAAGAATTAACAGGACGTTTACTGGAATTTGAAGATCGTTTATTGGTTTTACGAGTACCACCACCGATTGGGATGTTACGGAGAGTTCCGCCTTTGGTCCAATAACGTCGACAGTTCTTACAGTAATGGCGAGGCTGCGAGAGATTGTAGTTGTTGTAATAGCAGAATTTGGTGTTGCTGGATTCGCATCTAGGGCAATCAAGATGTTCGTGCTCCGGAAACTGAGGGTTCATAGTCATCGGCAACGAGTAGGTCGATGGATCCTGATGCATTTTTGGGTCAAAATCGAAGCATATGTTGTTGATGAAATTGGGAAATTGGATTTGCGAGAGAAGAGAACAATGGAAGATATTTTATTGGGGCGCTTTTAGATAACGTAGATGAATTTATCTGGTTGGATTAAAGATGGCGATGGGTGTCCGCGTGAAAATGACGACCACCACCAGTCTCCTCTCCCTCATCATGAGCTTCATCACATGACTCACTCAAAGTCAAACATTCCGGCTTTATACCAATGGGATGCGTCGGCTACTATGAATTTTTTCAAGAGAAGTTAAGCCTTTGGTATAACCGTTTATATATTTTGTTGAGTAATAAGGTATATAATTAAATAACAATATGTAACATACTTCACAATCCTATTAAAATGGGGTAGGAATGGGAGTAATATTTATGTCAATGCATCATATAGATGTTGTCCGACATGTGTGAGAATGAGGGTTTGGAAACAAAGAAAACGAGTAAACGGTAAAGTCAAAATGAACAGTAAAATATATACGCGAGTAAAAATCTTAGGACTAACATAAGGATTTGAGAGTAGGTACGGGTAGAGGTGGCAAAATTGACACGACACGAAACCCGACACGAACCCAATACGAAATAAACGGGTTTGGGTAAGATATTTCAACCCGTTTAAATAAACGGGTTGACACGACACGACACGAAAATTAAATGGGTAAGGTTAGGGTTGAGAATTTCAACTCGAATATGACTCGAAAATGACCCATTTATTTATATGCAAGTTTTTTGAATTATTTAAATAAATTAGAAAGATATAAAACCAAAAGCATAAGCAAAAGAAAACCTTCGAATTGAATTGTTTTATAATGTTGAAATAACTTAGCCGTCTAGATCAAGATTTCATTTCAGTTTCTCCATTCTCTCCCAAACTACCCAGTCTCTTTCACCACTCTCACATCCTCATGACCTTGTCATCCGCCTCCCTAAATCTCACTCTTTTAATTTTGTCATCTAAACTTGCTATGGTTTCATCTATTCTGCCTCAAAACAATTAGTTTTTCATTTCCGCTACCAAACTCCTACTCTTTCAACATGCTCAACCTTTTAACCTCACAGACACGACATATTTCAAGATATAGCCCTAACCCGAAACCCGACACGAACTCGATACGAAAGTAAACGGGTTGACACGACACGACACGTTAATTAAATGGGTCGGGTTAGGGTCAAGCACTTTCAACCCGTTTAGTGTTTCGACACGACACGAACCCGACACGACACGACACGATTGCCACCTCTAGGTACGGGTAGGGGTGCTAAATCGGACAATTGTGTCATATATATATATATATATATATATATATATATATATATATATATATATATATATATATATTCTAACATGACATTAGACAACAAAATTTCATGTAACATGAACTAGAGGTGTTCAAAAATATTCGCATCCTAACATACGATCCGAAAAATCTGAAAATCTGATCCAAAAATACCCGAAAAATCGGATATCTGAAATTCGGATATCCGATTTTTCGGATTCGGATATGGATATTAAAATGTGAAATTTTCGGATATTTCGGATATCCGAAATCCGAAATATATAATTTAAAAAATTATTAAAAATAGTTTTAATGCATTTGGTTTTTTCATTTGAAATTCAAAAAGACAAATTATCAACATTTTTACTTGGTATGCAAAGTGGGGATGATATAAATGTTACATTTCTTTGTTGATTTTAATAATTTGAGTTTGATTTCTCAAAGATCTTATCTTGCATTTAACTGGACCAAATGAAGTCCTATTATACCTAACAAATGCATGAAAACCTTCTTGTTCTTGGAAGATTTATTTTAAAACTAATGAAATTCGGATATCCGGTTTAATATCCAAATCCGTATCCGAAATTCAGATATCCGAAATTTTGGATACAGATTCGGATATCAAAATTCAACTATCCGAATTTTCTAATATATCCGAAATTCGGATATCCGGTTTTGAACACCCCTAACACGAACACAATATAAATTATGTCGTGTTTTTTTTAACCAACATGAAAACAAACTAATTAAAAAAACAACCAACACGATATGACATGAAAAATAATAAAAATAAAATAAAATTATTTTATTTTTTTTAACGACAAAAACTTTAAATAAAAAACTAGCTAGATGTTGGCAAAAAAGAAATATATAGTTTAAAATTACATGATCAAAATTTTGACCCACGTAATTGTTTGGCCTTAGTATTTGTATGGCAAAACCATTTAAAAGCAAAAGCTACAATATCATCAAACATGAAAGCTTTTCTATATTGTTGTTGGAAAACCATACAGTTTCTGTAAGACCACAAAATCCAAAGAAGTGTTAAAAAACCAATTCCACGATTTTTCGTTTAAAATGGAGCGCCATCTACAAATCAATCCATTGAAACATATATGCGATGGAGCACCATCTACAAATCAACACATTGAAACATATATGCGATGTTTGAAAAGTAAGGAATATGCATTTCTATCCAAACACACATTCTTTTGCATTATTCACATTCCAGATCACAAGTGAAGAATAAATGATCGACATCTTCTAAATGGCAAGAACAAATAGGACACTGAGTTGAGTCAACGTTAATCCGTCTTTTATCTAAGTTCACTCGAGTAGGAAGATGATCAAGAACTAAACGCCATACAAAAAGTTGACCTTCATAGGAACAAACTTGTTCCACCTAGTAGGTATGTCAACATTTGGGAGAACCACACTATCAATCTACCATCGCACCGATTTGATTGTGAAATCACCCGACGGATCCAATTCATATTTCCATCTATCCAAAGAATAAGTGATGGTGACCTCCTCTAGCAAAGACATCAAAGTCTAGAGTTGAGTGCTCTCTTCACCAACCCTAAATATCACGTCTCAAAGAAAATCTCCAATTCTACATAAACAGAAGTCTTTGACAACCATATTTTGACTGTTTGTAAGAGCGAACAATCTAGGAAAATGTTTTTGAAAGGATTTGTTTCCACACCAAAAATATGTCTAAAATTGTGTATCCGCCCCATTCCCTATAACTATACTAATAGAAGATAATAAAGTAATTTTCCAGTCATGCAACTAACTGATCACACCCAAAATTCCAGTCCATACCCCCCTTCGCCCACTTCTAGCATGACTCCTATTAAATCCACCCAACAACCCATAACAAGCTTTAATGAATCTAACCCAAAGAGAGCCAGAATCGTTAAAAAATGCCACATCCACTTATATAACAAAGCAAAATTAACAGAGGACTAACTCCTACCATCTAAACCCCCATTACATATAGAGTTTAAAATAACATCCCACTTCACCCAACTCAACTTCCTTTCATATGGTTTTCACCCCAAAAGAATATAGCCCATATGGATTCAAAAGATTGAGCATCACCAACTGGAAGTCTAAACAATGACATGTAGTAAATCCCTAAAGTCCTAAGAAATAACTTAAGCAGTGTAAGACAACCCCCTTATGGAAAGCATTTTAAGTTTCCACTTTGAAAGACATTTATGGAAATGATCCACGACCACTTTCCAGCCTTTTGATCTTGACATGATATCACCGACTGGCAACCCAAGATACACAAAAGGAATGGCTAATGCCCTACACCTAATGATAGCTGCCATAGACTGAGTATCTGCTAAGCCAATCCCCACTCCAAACGGATTAGACTTCTGAAGGTTTAATTTCAAACCAGAAGCCCATTAATAACAACGAATGATACTAATAAGATTCTTTTATGTTATCTATGTTGCATTCACTTATAAAAAGTGCATCGTATGCATTAAACAGATAGGAAATAAGCATGTTGTTCTCCCTAACCCGAACACCTCTAATAAATCCATGTAACATTGCATCCTCCATAGCTACATGAAGACCCTGCATAGATATAATAAATAAGAAAGGAGAAAACATGTCTACTTGACTCAAACCACGACTCAACTGAAACTCTGAAGTCAAACTTCCATTTAGAGATACCGAAGATCTAGCAGACTGTAGACATACTCTAATCCACCCCATCCTAACGAATCCAAATCCCATGAAACACATTACCTAATCTAAATAATCTCAACTCAAAAGAATCAAAAGCTTTTTCAAAGTCAACTTTGAAAAACATCATTTTTTATGTGTATCCAATCAACTATTTCATTCACCATCAACGAAACATCAAGGATTTGGCTACCCTTGATAAAAGCAGACTGTTCCACACTAACAACATCACCAACAACCACCACCAACCTATTAGCTAACAACTTGGCAATAATTTTATATTGCAATCCAATTAAACTAATAGGCTTAGTATCCATAACATTAGCTGAGCTATCCACCTTCGGAATAAGATTAATAGAGGAAGAATTACAACCATTAGGAATCATCCCTGTATCACCAAACTCTTATACAAAGTCGAAAAAATGTCATTTTTAACACATCCCAATACTTTTTTCAAAAAATAAAAGGAAAAACCATTCGAACATGGAGCTCGATTACTGCCATACAAACAAACTACTGACCTAACTTCAACTTCAAAAATCCGCAACTTTATCTTAGTGGGAGTTGAAACCTCTAACCCTTTAAACCTAGGACTATGATGAAGAATACGAACCCCTTCGGACAACTTAAATCTCTCAGTGTAATAGTCGAAATGTTTTTGCTTTACTACCCCATGGATCTAAACGCCACAATCCATCCACTAAAACACCACAAATCATCATCCACCTCCTTCTCTTCTTGAGTAAAATGTGAAAAAACTTTGAATTCTCTTCACTTTCCACACCCCATTTTATTCTCAACTTTTGTAACACATCTTCCATTTCACAAGCCTTAATATCACGAATTTATAAGTACATCCCACCTCTTATTAGAACAATCAATGGAGGTGATCCCTACATTAATATTGTTGTCAATAACATCCAACCTTTACCTCAAATCATTTTTCGACCTACCTTTTCCGCCCGCATAGAAGCTTTCCACCGCTTTATTCTTCC